TCTGGACCATCAAGGTAACCGCCAGCGCGTACGCCTGCCTTGTCCTCATCTACCACCAATCACTCCAGTCGGTCTCCTCTTCCGAGCTCCCTTTGACGATGTCCCCAGTGACGATGATGCCATGCCGGATGTTGACCAGCCTTTCTCCTCTCGGGGTCCTCAGTCCTACCCTCTTCCTTCAGAGGATTTCTCTTTCGACATGCCCCCCTCACCACCACCGGATCCGAGCTCCCACTCATTTCCTGACTACTCTGCTCAGATTGACATGCTCAGCCAGAGGATGCAGAGTATGGAGACGACCATGGACGGGTTCGGCGCTCAGCTCCAGTCTTTCGGAGATCTGATACGGACAGAGTTCGACGCTCAGAGGCAGTTCCGTGAGCAACAGCATCAGATGGCACAGTACGCCACGGAGTTTCATCGCCGCTATGATGCGAGGTATGCAGCCGAACAGCGACGCCCCCTGATCCCTCTTCCACCTGGATACCCGTACTCGCCATACTACTATCAGCCAGGACCACCACCACCTCCTCCAGAGCACTGAGCGTTTACTAGTCCTTTTGCTTTTATTTTGCTTTCGCATTTTCGGGCTGTTTTATTTGGGTTTATCAGTTGTACTTTTTCGACTTGACGATGTATCACTCGTGCTTGTTCTATTTGCTGCGTTGTTTTGGTTTGTGCTGTTGTTTATGTGTTTCTAAGGTTGTATCACACACCACACGTACGCTGAGAGCTGTGAGTCTTCGTCTGCGCATTTTTCTTCAATCCTTGAGTACCGTGAGGGAACACGCCATTCATTCACGCTAAGTATTCTTTTACTCCGTTCCCTTTTGGTTTCTCTCGCTGATTTTCCCTCTGCCCAAGGCGACTTGACACCGCGGACGGTGTCTTGTTCCAGTCTGGGGGAGGATAGTCTGACAACTTGTTTTTCCCATTTTGACAGTCCTTAATGCATGTTAGCACATCATCTAGTAAATCTGCATAGAAAAACTGCAAAAACCCGATTTCAGGTGATCAGTTAGAAGATTCATGAGTGATAGAGTAGAAATCTCTTGAGAGTATAGATGAACCCGGCTTAGTTATCTAAGCGCCCGAATGAATTGTCGGACTTATCCGAAAAGGTAGCTTGACCTGAGGATTGATCTATCGGTTATGAGATGAGTCGTTGCCTAGGATGAAAGAGGGAACGAAAGCCTTCCAACCCAAGCTTATATGTTTCCCTAAAAACCGTTCCTCATTTGCAGGAATATTAATATTTGGCCCTATATAGTCTAGCGAACCCTCTTTATCTATCTTTATTTCTTTTGACTCGTTTAGACACACAGGCAAGTAGTCCGGGGGTGGCAGCAACCATCACGAGGTGAAAGTAAGTCCTGTTTCCAAAACCCATACCTTGTTTCTTTGACTCGTCTAGATATACAGGCAAGTAGTCCGGGGGTGGCAGCAACCATCACGAGGTGAAAGTAAGCCCTGTTTCTAAAACCCATACCCTGTTCTTACGTTCGTTCCTCTTGATCATACCATGCATTCGTCCGACGCGTATTGTTTTTTTATAAAAAAAAATAAAAAAAAATGCATACCCTGTTCTTACGTTCGTTCCTCTTGATCATACCATGCATTCGTCCGACGCGTATTGTTTTTTTATAAAAAAAAATAAAAAAAAATGAAAAAAAATGAAAAAAAGGGCTCGAATAAGAACGACAGAAGGAGAATGCATTTGATATTGATATTTGGAACTCCAATTTTCCATCACCGTATTTAGACTCACTCCAAACCCTAGTGGACCGAATTATTCCTGTAGACAACGATAAATAGGTTTGAGAAACGTGCTCGGTAGATAACTTGAAATCCCCTTTGAAGTTTTCTGCTTGCCATAGCCGCATTCGTGTAGCTCTATGATCGTTTTGTTGGAATGGAGATCTGAATAGGGTAAGCTTGATTTCATTCAAGGTTAGTCGATACAGGAGAGAGATTTCACACTCATGGAGATTTCTGATTGATCACCTACTTACTTCCCCCGCACGCGTTTCTCCATCGTATATTTGCTCGACGAGCAAAAGTATAAGTCTGGGGGAGTTTCTCCGATCTCTCGACGAGCAAAAGTATAAGTCTGGGGGAGTTTCATAACACGATTTTCTCATCTATTTCAAAGCCCATTGTGTAGCACTTTCGCATCGGTTGTATGCATTATTAGACATTTAGGATCATTTTAGCACTAGGTCTTGCTTCTTCTGCATTCTCTGGTGATTGAACAGGTAATGGACGCACTATGGATGTAAAAGGAGTATAATCGAGGACTTCGGAGCACACGGGACCGGAACAGAACGATTAAGGCATTTCTAGCTCGAGTTGCACCTGAACACGACCGAGTCGAGTTTAAACACGGCTGTGCAAAAGCGAGGAAACGAAGACATTCTTACAGACAATTGACACGGATCGTGTCGAGTCAAACACGGCCGTGTCGAGACGCAACTCGTCCGTGTCCAGCCCGTGCAGAAGCGCATAGTTTTTTATCAGACAATTGACACGGACCGTGTTCACCTCAACACGGCCGTGTTCCGTTTCGAGAAAACTTCCTATTTTGGATCCGAACTTCCGTTTTCAGAATGGAAAGAAGCCCAGCTACCAAGCAAATAAATAGGAGACGTCTTGGGCTTCAGAAATTATCGAGAGATCACAGCAGAAGCCAGAGAACTCGAGAGAGAATCAAGACGGAGTTTCCCGGGAGCAGAGATTGAAGAACCGTCATCGAGAGATCGCTGCGAGTTTTTTCTTTATCTGTTTCTATGTTTCTTCTCATTGATTTGAACTCGTTTGTTGTTATGGGTAGTGAGTAGTCGTTTCACTGTAGCTAGGGATTTAACCTTGTAGGGATTTGTTTGGTTTTTATTTTCCGAGACTACGTTATCGATACTCGGCGGTTTAATTGAATTGAGTTTATTGCTTTTGATCTTCTTGGCCTGTTGATTGATTGATCTTAGATTCTGATTTACAACGAGAGTTGGAATTAGATTCGGAAAGAATTCATTGAATGAATTGATTAAGACTATTGAGAGATAGGTTAATCGATTTAGGAACTGTGATAGTGATCGTTAATGCATTTGATATTTTAATCTATTAGGTTGAGAAATCGATAGGTTAGATTATTGGA